AATAAAATATGTACACACCACAGAAAAGTTAACTCCTATATCGAATAATCAAACATGTACAGACCACTATCTGTACATAACATAACAAATTTAGAGGGAAAAAACTATTCTGTACGGTATATACGTATATTTTGTACGGTATATAAGTATATATACAGAATATACAGAAAGTGATGAACAGATAATTGGGTAGACGGTATAAATGGTGCATATAATGAAACCTCAGTACACAACACTATCTGTACCAAACTGTACAACGCTCAGTGTGTACATACTCCTACGATTTGGGTTTTAATACAAAAAGCCTACTGAACACCTATATTAATTAAATACAAATTACAAAATTGTAAAAAATGAAAGGTGTAATGGATAAGAGGGCAATAAATAAAGGTGGTTAATGAACAAGCTTACTAACTACCCAACCAATTTCCTTCTTCGACTTTATATATAGACGTACGATAGTTGGATGGTGAATATGCTTAACCAAAGCAAATGGAAAACACAACTAAAGAAATTAACATGGAACCTAAAATGCTTGATCTCCCCGATGATATTTTCGAAGACATAGTGAAGAGAGTTGCAAGCGATCGTTGGTGGCTACTTGGCCCAATCTTGAAAGCTGGTTCGAGAGGGAAAAAGGTTGTGTACAGCCATAACGTTCTGAAAGGAGCATGCATCTACTCGTTATGTGGCCATCCATCCGATTTCAACACTTCACGCAATGCAGCAGGCGGGGATCAGCTAGAAGGACGACACCGGCCTTTTTTCCAGAGATGCCTAGACGCTGGAAACAAAATAGCCATTTACTACGAAGGGCTAAGGGTTGTGGCCGAAGATAGGGATATAAATGGAGGGATTGCGTTACTCAGCCGAAACGTGCCGGCTGAAGCTGACGCCACCCTTGCGTGTGGGGTTTTCTCAATCTGTACGGGGGATGAAGACATGGCTGTACACTATCTACAGCAGTTTGAGACGCACCATTGCGCATTGACATCGGAGGGAGTGAGACTAACAGGCGACGACTTGTTGATGGAACTATCTCAGTATTCAACCGCTCGTACGAACACATACAAAGAGGCGTTCAACTATCCAGATAGCACTGTAGTCCCTTCTCCAGCTTGTGCTCTCCTATGTTGCATGGGATTTGGTCGTTACTCTCTTCTTTATTCGGATTACGATATCCTTTGCAAGGATTACTATTTATGGTGGCTGTCGACAAAGGTATCTGAAATGCTCTAATGTTATGGGGAACTTTAAATGCAAGGATGTTCTTCTATAACTAATATTCTACAAGATCTGAGTAATCGGCTTTGTTTGGGGTAGGTTGTTTTTGTGCTATTATTCGAATAAGAAACAGTTTGTGAAATATATATTTTTATAAATTTCTGTCATTTTAATATTTGTGTGTTTGTAAGATTTTGTTGTGTAATTCGGCTTTATCCATGGAATATGTGTAATATTGGTTTGAAATCAAATAGATATTTTGATATTTCCGGTTAGACACTGTGCCATATGTATGTAATGGGAGAATTTTTAATATGAAAGTTAAAATTGATTTAAAAGGAACCAAACCAAATGACAAAAAGAATGAATCATAGTTGGTTTACAATCAAATTATACTTTTGAAACTTAGTTGTTTTAAAAGGGTAAAACTTAGTTGGTTTACAAAAATATCTTATCGAGCTGTTGCTCATGAAAACATGATAAATGTAAAAAAAAAGATTTCAGAAGCTAAGTTACCCCACGTGGGTTAAAGTCATTATTAACACAAACACACAACCATGATTGTGGAAGACAGAAACGGCAAATTCACGGAATCGAGAAAATTATATAAAAACCATATAATTGTGTGGATATAACATCTCCATCTTTACCGATAATTGTGTATATAGATAGTTCCACACACATAATATCGAAGGGACAAGGGTGGTTCTTGCAGTGTAGAGTTAACTTATATGTAAAGTCCTGCTACACCAGTACTTATATATATGTTGCGACTGTACTGTCCAATCGTTGTACAGGTTTACTTTGTCTGACGTTTGAAATTGACTGTACTGTCCAACCGGACTGTACACTTCTGGGGCTGAAATTGGATAGTCATTAAATATCCATCGTTAGTGACCCCATTGGTAACTCCCCTTATTAATATATAGATAGTTTTTGGTTAGCATTACAAATACACCACCTTAAATTTGATCACTCACTTGAAAATGGCATCGATTCCAGAACTTTCCGACGATGTCTTTAAGAAGATAGTAAAAATACTTGGAAGTCGTAGTTTGTTATTTCTTGGACCGATCCTGAGGGCTGGGCGAAGTGGCAGGGACGCCGTTTACACACCATCGATCCTTAAGGCTGCAAGAATCCACAGGGTGTGTACTCATCCAACCGAAATCAACACTACCGACAAACCTGGTGGGGGTCTCCAACGAGAAGGAGCTCACCGAAAAATATTCGAGCGTTGCCTGCGTGCCGGCAACAAAACAGCCATTTACTATGAGGGGCTCAGGATTGTGGCCGAAGACAGGGACATTCGG